TATATATAGAAAGTAATTAATTAATTGTTTAATAAATGAGTACTGCAAAGGGAAAACAGGAATCTTTGATTTTCGAATATTTCACTTCAAGAAGACGGGTTTACGGAACCTGAAAATTCTCTAATGAATATCAATTTAACGAAGAATTCTGTTCCAAATTTGTCGATCATTTTGGCCGGAGATTGATCGACATCGGCCTACATTAAGCCGATTTTAGAGTTTTAGCTAGGGTTAACCATTTTTAGAGGATTTTTTGTTAGGGCACAAGAAGCAGTTTCATGTCGAAATTTTTTTTCTTAATTTTGTCGATCATGATCGATAAAACCTAGCACAGGATTCTGAGTGCTTATTCGAAGCTGATAAGCCATACTCCGTTAAAATTCGAAATTCAAGAATTACTGGCGGCACCCAAATAATCAAAACATAAATAAAATCAGTTAATCTTACTCCATCTAAATTATTAGTAGTAACAATATTAACTAAGTCCCTAATGAATTTCGCATTTTGTGTGCTATTCGAATTACAGTATACCAACCCTGATTCAGATCATTAGACTGTTTATTAAAGATTTTAGTTAAATTATTCTATAAAATAATAATTGGTTACTTTATATATAAATCTTTTTAATGTAGATTTAATCCTTATTATATACCTTAAATTTTAGATTATTTCTCGTCTTATAATTTAACAGTTGACTAAATTTGGAAAATTGGATTTGAAAAAATACAAATGGGTCTCCATCAACATTAGGATTTGCGCCATTATTAACAAGGTCATTCGGGCCAAATGCTATAAGATGAAATAACTTGATTAAACTTAATAATGACAATTAAATATATTAAACTTTAACTTCGTATACCAATAAAGTTTAGGTAATTAATTGATGAGCTGACATTAAAATCTAGCTCTGGCGTTGAATAATGTTTATAAGCGGGATAGTATCCAACAAGAATTTTTGGTTTAGTCGGTGATAGATTGCATGAATCCTGACTCATTGCCTTTTTTTTCAATACGAATATAAAAAAGGATAGAAAAAGCACTATCAACTTATATAATGGTAAGAAACGAATATCCATATTTATTATAATTGCATATATAAAGTACAGTGTTAACATAAAAAACGAAACGTGGGTATATAGGATAGGATGCACAGAAAAAAAAAACAGCATTAAGGTAGATAGTTTATCTTTCTTCAGGAAAAAAAAACCAAAAAGCTACAAATGAGTATTAGGATTGGAATTGTCCTACATACTGTAAGTATTTAATTCTTACAAGGATAGATGAAGGAGATATTTTATAGCCCTTTAGTGATGTCAGAAAATTCACGAATCATTAAGTTTAAAACAGATGTATATCAATCAACAATATTTATCCTTTATAGAAAATTATTGCCAGATGCAAACTCCAATCTTATGTCTACATTTACGGTATAAAATACGTAGCAATATTTTGTAAAATAGTCACATTTTTTCTTTACAAACCAACTCATTTACATGTTATAGTTTTTTACAATTTAAAGAACTAAGGTAACATAGTCTTGAAAGTGAAAATATTTTTCAAGGTATGTTAAACTTAGATTTGAATATACCTAGAGAATAATTAGTAATAGGTACGTGCCTGATACCTATTTTATATGATTTCTATACAGTCAGAACTCCTCGAAGGGCTTATGAAAAAAATCAAAAAATCTTGCATTTAGGGAATATTTATTATGTGAGTTGAGACCAAAGCATTCCGATTATGGCCAATCAGAGAGCAGGATCAGGTGTAACGTGAAAATCACGATTTTGAAAAATCACATTAATAAAAAAAATTCCTTGCAAAATTTTAGTATAAGGGCACCTACTAACTCTATTACTAACTCTAACCAAGACGTCACATTTTAAGAAGATGACATGTAAACAATTAATCAGAAACCTGGGGAAATTAGTAAAAACGAGACCAAACACAACCATGCATTTAGAGAAGTTTTTCATAGACTATATGCAAGTGATACAAATCCAAAAAAGGAAATTTTTATATGTAGATCGCAAAATCAGGCGCAATCTTTGTGTAACGTGAAATCGAAGGCTTTTTCAAAACATCGCCGGTAACTCAAAATTTGCCCTTTTACGTTCTAATAAAAAAAATTCCTAGCCAAATTTTATTATATGACGTTCTTATACCAATCTTAACCCTAACCCTAACGCTGGTCAAAATTTCACGTGCTTTTAGCGAAATAACAACAAACTATTGGCACATGATTTGTATCACTTGCAGAAATAAGTAAATCCGTATTTGGGTTGTATTTTAGGGAGGTTGCATTTAGGGGGTTGTATTTAGGGAGGTTGCATTTAGGGAGGTTGCATTTAGGGATTCAGGGAGGTTGTATTTAGGGTGGTCTGAATGTATGAATGATGAGAGAAAATTAATATTCTATATAGTATCATATCTCTGGAGTTTGTACCCGTATAAAACTTGAGTTCTGGGTTACCCACCCGTTTAAAAATTCATTTGAATAATCCGGGTGACTGGTTGACCTGGTTGAGAAAGTATATTAATCACCTTTTTTTCTATTTTTCACCTAAGGCCACACAAATTTAATATCTTGGTTTTCATAACATGAAACTTTTAAACAGACCCGGCCGGCCGGTTTTTTTTTTAATTTTCATATATAAAAATTTTATAAAATTTTTTAAAAATTTTTTAAAAAAACCTACCCGGTTATTAAAACATATAAAATTTTTTTTTACAAGTTTTCAAATTTTGACCCGGCCGGGTTATGAAAACCAATTAATTAATTTTGCATGGCCTAATAGGTAATGGCTGTAATGGCTAGGTGGTTCATTTACTCTTAAACTCATTATCATCAATTTTTCGCATCCAACCAAGTCAAGAAAATAGTGATAAATTCTTTCAATTTTTTAATATTTTCAAGTTCATCAAATGAAATCTCATTCAATTACCATGCAATCATCAATATTCTATTTCTATTTGTCCATCCTTTTGTTGTTATGATAGATACTGTGTTTCATTCGTGTTATATTCGTTATAATGTGTACATTTCCGTCTTAAATATTGTTTTATTTTACTTATATCACACGATTTTTAATTTCTCTATTCACTACTAAATCAATGCATGTTTAGTTTCACAGATTAAATATTTCTATACTCACGGACTAAATGATAAATGACTATAATGCCGATTTTAAACATGTAACCCAGTAGCAATAACAATTAACAATCCTATACGGGCGACCCTTATGCGAGTATGATCACTATATGTATCTATGTCTTATTAAGCATAACAGATCTCCCTTGCAGACTATGTTATTTTATATATTATTTTAAAAGAATCTTGATTCAAATTTATCTATTTTACAATAAGATTAGAAAATTTTAAATTTATAGTTCATTATGTCTAGAATTATTAAATTGTTAATTATAGAGGGAGTTTGTCTCATGTGTAGCCAATCTCATGTTGGGTACTTATTTAATAGTATGATCTTGAAGTATGTACATACTAATAATTAGAAAGCTTTATGATTTGTATCTGAGTAAATCCGACTATTTGTGTCCGGACGAACCTGAAAATTTATATCAGAGTAAACCTGAGGATTTGTATCAGAGCAAGCTTGATTATTTATATCTATGAGCGGATTAGACATTTTCGCTCTGTGCCTTTTTCGATACAATATGGTGCCAAAAGCTACTAATGCGCTAACAAAAATAATGGAGCCTATTACACCACCCACTATTTTACCTGTATTGGGCGGAGATGACTGAGATGTAGATGATGTGGGTGTGGATGGAGAGGTACTAGTAGTTCCATTTCCTTTCGGGTTATTTGGTAGAATTCCCAAAATAAAGTTCGTCAATTGTAAATCTTTCGAATCTTTGGTGATGTCTGCAATCGCAACTCCTGCTAAATTATTACTTTTTATATAGTC